GCCGAAATTGATGCCTTGGTTTCTGCTGAAATTCTAGACCCAGATGCTAACACCGAGTACAATGATGCAGTTAGTGAATTCACGCTGCACGGACCATGCGGACAACACCGAAAGAATTCGCCATGCATGGTAAATGGTAAATGTTCAAAACATTTTTCAAAAAAAATATGTTAGTTAGACACTTCTGGATAAAGATGGTTACACAATCTATAGAAGGTGTGACAATGGACGCACAATCAGTAGGAATGAAATCCAACTTGATAACCGTTACGTTGTCCCGCATAATAAACATCTGCTTCTAAAATATCGCGCACATATTAAAGTTGAATGGTGCAACCAGTCGAGATCGATTAACTATTTATTCAAATACGTCAATAAAGGAAATGATCGAGTCACGGCAGAGTTCATGAGTAATTCTACGAATGCACTCAATGGTGATGTGGTTGATGAGATTAATATGTACTACGATTGTCGCTATATATCAGCATGTGAAGCCACCTGGCGACTATTTGGGTACGTGATACATTATCGTACGCCACCTGTGGAGAGGTTAAATTTCCACTTAGAGCACCAACAGAACGTTGTCTATGGGGAAGATCAAACACTACACGAGATTGTCGAGAACCAAACGGTTAAGCAGAGCCAGTTCACTGCTTGGTTTGAGGCAAACAAAAAAAAAAAACTAAGATGCTCGGTCGCTCACTTATGCAGAGTTCCCCAGTAAATTTGTTTGGAAACAAAACGTGCGTGAATGGCATCCAAGGAAGAATGGATTCTCCATAGGACGATTGTTCTATGTTCCGCCAGGGTGTGGAGAATTATACTATCTAAGATGCCTTTTAAATATCATACGTTGACCTTCAAGCCATGAGGATATTCGCATTGTTGGAGGGGCCATTCACAAATAATTCAGGGATGCATGTTATGAATATGGATTATTTGATGATGACAAGGAGTACATCGATGGTATTACTAAATCTAGTTACTGGGTTTTCACGTCTGCATTGCGAAGGTTGTTTGCTACGTTACTCACTTCAAGTTCAATCAGTAGACCAGAGGTGGTGTGGAATGCCGTTTGGCAATTTCTTGCGGGGGATGCATAGTTACATCGTCGACGTTTAATGAACAATCCAAGTACATCAACATCCAATCTATTTATTGAACATTATTGTTTGTTTTTCATTATTTATACAAAAACCCATTCATTGATTTTGTTTTCCTTTCGTTTCTAAACTATGAAGATTTGTTGTTATCAGAATACGATAAGCAACAATTTGCTCTGGTCGAGTTGGAAAAGTTACTGTCTTTGTGGGGGAAGAGCCTGAGTAACTACCCTGAAATGCCACTTCCAGAAGAAAACAGCATTGGATTGATGGAAAACATGTTGATATCCGAAGAGTTGGTGTACGACAAGGAATCATTGAAGGCAGATCATGAAACATTGGTAACTCAATTGACGGACGAACAGAAGGTTGTTTACGACTCTGTGACGAATGATATTGATTCTAATGGAGGGGGATTGTTTTTTGTGTATGGTTACGGAGGAACAGGCAAGACGTTCGTGTGGGGAACATTATCTTCAAAGATAAGGAGCCGCAGAGATATTGTTCTAAACGTTACTTCAAGTGGAATAGCATCTTTTCTCTTGCCGGGTGGCATGACGGCGCATTCTCGATTTGCTATACCGCTCTCAGTGTATGAAGATTCCACCTACAATATATCGCAAGGCAGTGACCTTTGCGAACTTATAATCATGAGCAAATTGATAATATGGGATGAAACACTGATGACACACAAATACTGTTTTGAGGCTTTAATTTAGACAAAACCATGAGAGATCTATTGAGATTCACCATACCTAGTAGTGATCATAAAATATTTGGTGGAAAGACAGTAGTATTGGGTGGTGATTTTAGACAGATTCTTCCAGTTATTCCAAAAGCAACGAGACCAATGGTTGTGGGAGCCACCATTAATTCTTCATACCTCTCGAGGAATTGCAAGGTATTGAGGCTGAAGAAGAACTTGAGACTACAGAGCTTAGCTTCAAACAAAGATAGACAGACGGTTGATTGGTTCTCAACATGGATTGCAGACATTGGAGATGGGATTACAGGGTTTGTAAACAATGGTTTGTTTGAGATCGATATTCCACCAAGGTTTATGTTGAACTGTGGACCTGATCCAATTGCAACTATAGTTGAAAGCATCTTCCCAACCGCGAAGCATGGAATGCTTGAACAGTCGCACCTAGAAGGATGAGCTATCCTCTCACCGACTTTAGATGTTGTTGATCAAATTAATCAGTATATGTGTGACATGAACACCGCAGAAGGTCAGACGTATTTAAGTTGTGACTCTTTGTGTAAGGCAGAATTAGATGGTGACAATCTCTCACAAGTACACACTCCTGAATTTATAAATAGCTTGAGATTGCCTGGACTTCCTAATCATTCATTGACAATAAAGGTTGGTTCACCTGTTATGTTACTACGGAACATAGACCACTCTCTTGGTCTTTGCAACGGTACGCGCCTCATCGTTACAAGATCGTCGGATCATATTGTCGATGCAAGAATAGTTAATGGAACGCAGCAAGGAACCAAAGTTCTTATACCACGAATGTCTCTCACCCCTTCTGATACGAGATTGACGTTCAAGTTCCAGCGTAAACAATTCCCGTTGATGCTAGCATATGAAATGATTATCAACAAAAGCCAGGGTCGAACAGATGAACGTGTGTTTTCAGTAATTCAAACCGTAAACAATACAGAGATACAAAAGACCTAGGAGTCTAAGCCTAACCAACTAGCCCTATACATCAGATAAGTAGTTAAGGACTAAATCAACTATAACTATACTAAATAATGTAACATTATAACATTACAAATATAATATGACTAACACACCCCCTCAAGCACAAGGTGGGTGAGAGTGTGAGACACAACATTTATCTTGCTTCGTAATGTACCGAACCGCGCTATTGGTAGAGGCTTCGTGAAGATGTCTGCCAGCTGATCCTTCGTAGAGACAAAATTGACCAAGAAATCACCCGATGCCACCTTATCATGAACGAAGTGGTAATCGATTTCTACATGCTTGGTCCTGGCGTGGAAAACCAGATTTGCACACAAGTAGGTGGCCCCGAGATTATCACACCACAGAGTAGCGGGAGAGCCGGTGTAGAGGCCAAGCTCCCGAAGTAGAGATACGACCCAAGTCACTTCAGCCGCAACATCAGTTAGGCCCTTGTATTCTGCCTCAGTGGAAGAGCGTGCTACCGTTCGTTTCTTGCGGGACACCCATGAGATAAGATTCGAGCTGAGAAAGACAGCGTACCCACTCGTCGACTTCCTGTCGACGGGGCATCCAGCCCAGTCGGAGTCAGGTTGATCTCGGATTGCTAGTGGTTGTTCCTGTACTGCCAAAGGCACCGCGTCCAGCGGGGGATCGGGAGGCTGATATGGAACTATCAGACCAGACGCCCATGGAGGACTCGGGTGCACAACTTGAGACGTGATACGGTCTTGTGAACCTGTAGCAAAGGGAAAACAAGACTCGTCAAATCGCACATAGCGACAGATAAAGGTTTTACCGGTATTTAGGTCCATGCATCGATAACCTCTCTAGGATGTAGGGTACCCTAAGAAAACACAGGGTGCAGAGCGATATTCTATCTTGTGCCAATTGTAAGGCCGAAGATAGGGATAACACCTACACCCAAAGACATGGAAAAGGTGTATGGTGATGAATTTTTGAATAGCAACTCGTATGGATTAGTAAATTTTAACGCTGATGAGGGAAGGCAGTTAATGAGATAGGTTGTAGTTTCAAATGCAAAATCCCAATGATTGTGGAGAACTAAACTATCTGGGAGTAGGGCCAGTCCGGTTTAGACAACATGCCGGTTATGGCATTCAACACGGCCGTTTTGTTCATGTGTATAGGCACAGGATTGCCTATGCATAATACCAAGGGAATTAAATCGTGTATGCAAATGACGATATTCGCCTCCTAAGTCTGACTGAATAGACTTGATAGAACGCGAAAATTGGCATTCTACCATCACGTGAAACGACTCAAACACTTTATATATATTTATATATATATATATATATATATATATATATATATATATATATATATATATATATATCTGATTTTAACTATAAGGGGTAAAACCAGCAAAAACGGGAATGGTCATCCACAAACAATACAAAATAACGAAAACCCCCCGCGAAAACAACGGGCGCGGGACCCCAAATGTCCGTGTATATTAAGTCTAATACATTATTACTTGCAGAAATAACCCTATCTAATGGGAAACTGGATGATTTCCCAAGCTGACACGCGGAACATAGCTACGACGAACTTGACTTATTGCGATTGACCGGACACTTTTGTAAAACACGTTATAGCGCACGACAATGTAGGTGCCCTAACCGACGGTGCCAAACTTCGGATGACGCACAGGCGCTTATATATGCAACTTGTGACCGAGACAGAGACAGCTTGTACAAACCCCCCGTACTAGGGCCCTTAAGAAATACCCTTTTGGTTTGGCAATCCTTCACAACAAAATAATCACGATGAAATTTGAAGAAAACATTATTGTCAGTTGTGATGTGATTAACGGATAAAAGGGGTACAGATAAGTTTCGCACATGCAGAATATTATTTAAAAGTAACGATCTAGACACGGAATTTAACGATGCATGGCCTATACTGGAAATACCCAAACCTGACCTGTCGCCCACGCGTAGCACATCGCCACCGGTATACGAGTCAGTGTGTGCTATCATCGAAGGATCGGGCGTAGCATGTGAGGTTGCGCCGGTGTCCGGGAACCAACCGTCTGCCACAACCGCGCCATTATCACCGGGAACCGCCATGTACGTCTACGGCGGCGGTTGATCGTAACGCCGAAAACAGTGAACTACCGTGTGACCTTGCGAGCTGCAGATTTGGCATCGGGGTACTCCACCGCGGCCTCTGCCATGTCATCCACAGCCACGGTTGTTCCGGCCTCGCCCTTGTCCACCTCCAGAACCAGGCTGCCGCGATCCTCCTCTAGAACCAGAGTGACGCTGCCCTCGTCCGGTAACCAGCGCCACATGGGAACCCGCTGGAATACGTACAACCGGTAGAAACTCGTCCTCCCATATGAATTCTTGAACTTGCAAGAAATCTGAAAGTTGAGGGATCGAGACTGGAGTACCTGAAGCGCCTAAGGAGGATGCCATGGAACAGAATTCCGGTCGGAGGCCGCGGAACACGTATAGATTCTGCTCGTCTAAGGAAACGGGGCGGCCGGCCAGTGCTAGATCCTCCACGAGAAACTGCGCCCTGCCGAGATACTCACCGGGAGAACTATCCCCTTGACGGAGAGACTGGAATTGGGCGAGCAGGTTCAAGCACCGTGCTCCCGTAGACGAGCAAAGGACCGATGTGATCGACGTCCACACTGGCCACAATATATCTCGGCCAACCGCGAGATACATTAATTCGTCAGACAATGACAAAATTAGAAAAGACAGGATGGATTGATCTTGTTGAATCCAATGGCCATAGGCTGGATTAGGCGTGGTTGTCGCCGTCGTGCCACCGGAAACCGCCTCACTAGTCGCCGTAGTCGAGAGCGTCGTCGGCGGACATGGCATGTCTCCAGTAACATAGCCCAACAATCCTTGCCCCGAAGAAACGGTATCAATTGGGTTCGCCAGAAGAGGTAGTTTTTCGTGGTGAGCTTTAGGGAAACAAGGTGGTGTGCGGTGGTTAGGGAAGCCGGGGTGGCTGAAGGCGGCACGGTGGCGACAGTCACCGTGCGTTCGCTAGAGTTGGACGACATAGTTGGGAGGGGAGAGAGTGGATCACCTGAGGCTTAACTGATACCAGATGAACGTGTGTTTTTAGTAATTTAAACCGTAAACAATACAGAGATACAAAAGACCTAGGAGTCTAAGCCTAACCAACTAGCCCTATACATCAGATAAGTAGTTAAGGACTAAATCAACTATAACTATACTAAATAATGTAACAATATAACATTACAAATATAATATGACTAACAAAACACTAACTCACGTTGGCTTATTGTTGAAAAAACCATTTTTTAATCACGGTTAATTGTACGTGGCTTTTTCCCGAGTCACTCATCCTGATGGCCTTAAGGTTTTAGCTCTAGACGAGGATGGACAAAGTTTTGTTATTACTACCAATGTCGTCTACAAAGAGGTTTTCAACAATGTGTAATTCAAAACAGTTATATTATGTATTCTTCTTGCACAAATATAACAAAATTGTTACATATTTTCATATTACGTATATATTCCGTTACAAAAATTTCTAGAGCTAAATTACTACACAAGATAATGAGACCAATTAATTTAATTCTGAAACATTCATAAAAACCTTAATTCAACGTTAAAATTTACACTATCGAATATGAAGCAAATTATAATTCATATATTATAACGAATATATTCCGTGCATCGCACGGGTGCAAATACTAGTTATTGTCAAATAAAAATATAGTATAATTAAAATGATACTTTATTATTGCTATAATGAAACTAAAAAACATAAAAATATTGTTAAATGAAATTGAAATGTAATTAAAATGATACATTCTTCATAGCCCACGTTGCTACATTGACCAGGATCCACGGTTAAATTTGCCCTGGCAAATTATGCTATGGACCCGTGTCCACCATGTGCATGGTGGACACGCTGTACATTCATAATTTCTATACTATATATTCATAATTTCTATACTGTAGATTCATAATTTCCAAACTGTAAATTCATAATTTCTATACTGTATATTTATAAAATCTATACTGTAGATTCATAATTTCTATACTGCACATTCATAATTTTTGTACTGTGTGAATCTACATTATAAATTTTATGAATCTAAAGTATAGAAATTATGAATCTACAGTACAAAAATTATAAATGTGCAGTATAGAAATTATGAATCTACAGTACAGAAATTATGAATGTGCAGTATAGAAATTATGAATCTACGTTATAAATTTTATGAATCTACAATATACAAATTATGAATCTACAATATATAAATTATGAATGTACAGCGTGTCCACCATGCACATGGTGGACACGGGTCCATAGCATAACGCTCCCATTTGCCCTCACCCAGGCCACAGGCGGCAAATTATATCGCGCGTGCACCGCGGTGCATAATCGATTATGCACCGTGCATCAAAACGACGTCGTTTTTTTTAATGAAAAAAAAAAAAAAACGACATCCGATTCTCACCGTTTCGTACCCTTCCGCAAAAAGTAACTATGTTATTCAGTTTCATTTTGTATACACTGCAGTTTCGGTTCAACACAACTACAGCTTCATTTCGATATAACTACAGTTTCATTCGATATTTATAGACTCAAATATGTGAAAATGTTATTTAGTTTTATTTTATATACACTATAGTTTTATTAAAACACAACTACATGATCATTTTGATATAATTACAGTTTCATTGTACAATATACTCTCAAATATGTGAAATGTTATTCAGTTTCATTTTATATACACTGCAGTTTCATTTCACCACAACTACAGTATCATTTTAATATAACTGCAATTTCATTTGAAAATATAAAAATAATACGTGAAGCAATGTCAGTTTAGATATAGTGTAGTGTCAGTTGGTAATTAACATACAAAAAAATGCGTGCTCTGTTAAAACTAACGGTACGCCGTTTCTTTACTTAAAGAAACGACGCATTTTTTACCGTGGTGCACGTGTACCGCGGTCCACGATATAACGACTGGCCATAGGCGCCACAGGCCTAGGTGAGATAAATTGGGCTAGCCTTTTCAAGGCCCGCTAAAGTGCCGGGCTTTGGTGGCCTCATCTCGTAAGGCCACTTTAATAGTATAATTATTATAATATTGTTTATGATAGAACTTTATCTTCTAGAGTTTTTGCTTTTAAACTTTTTTCGTTAATTCTAATTTCACTCTTAAACATTGTATATTTTACTTAGAATTTTGAGTTTAAATCCATCATATTTGGTTTGTAACTATTAAACAAGTGTCATTTTAATCTTCACATTATTAAAAAAAATATGTCACTTTTAATTTGTGAGCTAAATTTGAACGATTTTCCACTTTAGAACATAAAATGAAAAAAAAAATCAAATACTTTCAATAGTGAAATGAGTAAATATCATTTGGAGTCCTCCGAATATAGTTATTTTACTATATTTAGTCCTAAATTTTCAAAATGAGCACCTGTGGTTCTTCGATTTTCAAATTGTTATTATCTTGGTCCAAATTAATAACCACTCATAGTCCTTCAACAATCAAATTTTAACAACCCATGGTCCTTCCAAGATGACCACAACTGGTTAAGTTGTTGAAACTCGTGGCTGGTTTGAATGCTCTAAAGGTACCGCCACTCAGACAACAATATGGACTAAGGAAAATCTACCAAGCATGATCAAGAAATGGCCTGCAGCCGATCAAGCCCAATGGATCTCGGACAAGAATAAAGAAGAAGAAGGCAAAAGGAGAAGAACCGAGATGTGGTATGAACTAAGAGATTTCACTGAAAATATAGGCATGAATCTTGGAGAAGAAAGAAGCTTCGAAGAATGTGTTTTATGGTGGGAAGCTGGAGTTCTTCAAGGCAATAATATCAAAGAAGCTTTTGGATATTACATGGCCGGGCAAGTTACAAAGAGATTTCAGAATGCGAAGTTCAAAGATGATTTCTTCAAGCTCAAATAACATGTCAAGGAAATCTTGAAGAAAGACATGGGTGTGAAGAAACCCAGAAGGTAATCTGGAAAAATCTCTTAAGCTGATGTTTTCGCTATTTTCGAACCTCTGTTGCATTTTTCTCTAAATATTCAAAATATCTCAATAATAATTTCCCATGGTCTATTTTGAGTTTAGAATTTTATTTGTCTTTTGTAATTAGACCTTCGTGAATTAAAAAGACAAGGAATGTCAAAACGCACATAAAAATTTAAAAAAAAAAATGATGATCAAAAATAAAATAATTCAAGATGCGTTTAGGAGCTTGTCTAAAAATTAATTCACAAGTTTCTTTTGATTGTGTCTAGAAAACCATTTGTTAAACTCATCTTGGCTTTGTCAAATAAAATTGAGCAAAATGATTATTTTTCAAAGACTTAAAGCCAATGACTGAGTATAGGTTTTGGGATTTTCAAAAGGGGGGAAATTGTTAGGAATAAAGTGTAATGATTTTGATATGCCAAATATGTATTTGTAGATCCCCCAATTTTATTTTATAGGTCTAGTAGAGTCTAAGACCATGATCGGCAAATTATTTAAGTTGCAAAATAGAAAAACAGAGGAAGATGCATGAAAATAGAAGAAGAAGAAGATATCAAGCCAAAAATCAAGAATTTGTCTGGAGAAAATGACAAATTGAAGAAGAAGATGAATGATATGAAAATCACGTCAATGCTACTCAAAAAGATATCCCAGAAAGAATTTTCGTGAAAGAAAATTAAGATTGGAAGATTGCATGAATTTGACTTGGAGATCAAGCATCTATGGAAAGAAAGGAGTACATCAAAGATGATTGGAGATTTAACCAATAAGCTGTACGAACGAAGTGGAAGATTCCTGATGTATTATGCGAAATGGCTCAAGTTTGAATCTCACCATCAATAATTTTACAAAGTAAAATTGAGAAGCCAAAAGCCAAAATTAATTAAGTCTGATGGAGTTGGGCGCTAGTTTGGCTTTGAGCGTCAATTACAAGTGGAAGCAATTGCACTTGGGAGCCAATTCAAAGGAATTGGGAGCCGATTTCAGACCAATGCATGAATTGAAATTGGGAGCCAATTCAATTTGTAGTATGAGATGCAATTTCAAATGGGAGCCAATGCATGAATTGAAATTGGGAGCCAATTCAAGTTGTAGTATGGGATGCAATTTCAAATTGGGGACCGATTCAAAGAAGACATTGAGATCAAATTGAATTGAGATGAAATGATGCAATTTCAAATGGGAGCCAATGCATGAATTGAAATTGGGAGCCAATTCAAGTTGTAGTATGGGATGCAATTTCAAATTGGGGACCGATTCAAAGAAGATATTGAGATCAAATTGAATTGAGATGAAATTCAATACCAGGAGAAATCTGGGAGCCAATTTCGAAATCAAAGTCAAAAATTCAAATTGGGAAGCAATTGAAAGCACCAGGAGTAGATTGGGAGCCAATTACAAGTCAAAGTCAATTGGGTACCAATTACAATGGAGAAATTCAAATTGTGTGCCAATTACAAGTCAATTGCAATTGGGTGTCAATTACAAAGGAGGGTGCCAATTACAATGGAGAAATTCAAATTGGGTGCCAATTACAAGTCAATTGCAATTGGGTGCCAATTTCAAGTCAATTGCAATAGGGTGTCAATTACAATGGAGAAATTCAAATTGGGAGGAAGTTCAAAGCCAGTTTGAAGTCTGAGAACACCCAGACGTGAGAATGAAGAAGATGAAGAAAAACTTACAGTAAAAATATTCTCACAAGGAAAAATACTAGTCTAACTAGTATGGGATTAAATTGAAGAATATTTTGAAGTATTTAAATCCCAAAGAAACAAGAACCACTTCAGAGCTGATCAGAGAAGCCATTCTACACAAAACTGAGAC